GTTCAAGGCGACAGCTTTCACCATGTTCGCTCCACTGTCCGTGGTCAGGCACACCTGTTTGGCCTCGTCAAGTTTCCATTCTTGTAAACTGTTTCAGTCCACTCGCAATATTTTCACCCGTGTGGTCCTCCGGGAAAAAACTTGTCTGGAGGCAACTGCTCTTCAAACTCCAATCAGCTATGTAGTGCACCGTGAAGCTGATGTACGGCTCTGTTGCTCGGCTGCTCCACATGTCTGTAGTTGACGCAAAAAAAGTCACTGTCGACAGCTTTGTTTGTAGCCCGTCACGGCACTCCTCATACATCTTCGGCAAGGCTGTCTTGGAAAAATATTTCCTTGAAGGCAACTTGTATCTCGCATCCATTTTGTGAATCATGCGCCTGAAACCGTCCTTCTCCACAGTTCGGAGCGGCAACATATCTTTAGCCAGGCAAAACGCAACGGACTCTGTTAATTCTTTCCACCGCTTGCTTTGGCTGTCATATGGTGTGGAATGAACAAATGCATTGTTAAGTTTAGTTTGAGTTGTTGTCGGTTTCTTGGCTTTGGAAGTTAATGCGAGCGCTTCTGCTGCATCGTAGCGCATCTTCTGGCTAGCTTCGTATTCTGGCTTGTGTTTGTGTTTTAGGTGGTGAAATAAATTTGTAGTGTTGCTGTCCTTTGTTGTCACCGTTTGCCCTCAGACTTTGCATATTACTGCTTTCTGCTCTGTGTCAGACTTTTTAAAGCCAAACCAATTCCAGATAACGGAACTGGAGCCRCTTTTAGGAACAAGCTCCTCAGCCATGCTTCCTCCACCTTCRGCCATGTTTGTTGTTTGCGCGTTGTTCACGTGACGCCTCGCGCGCACAGTATATGCGACAGGATTTGATCGTTTTTATCGCGAGATGACAAATTTTTACCATGGGGAGTTTTTTTGACGATATATTGCACACGATAACATATCGCCCATCCCTACTGCCTAAAAGAAAACACAGGTTAATTGAGGAGCCATTCACTACACCTGAGCACATCACAGTCAGATTGACTTTTCCTGTAGGGTAATTTAAAAAAGCACTAGTAAAATGACAATTTTTTATTCTTTATTTAATCAGGACAGTGTACATTAATGAACATTCTTATACTTCTGTATAGACTGTTAATGAGCCAGCTTACAGCATAGTTGCTAATTTACATCTGTAGTCCTGAGGCAGGAAGAAAGGGAAAACAAACAAACAAACAACACAATATGTTCAAAAGAACAAAACAACATAAGATCACAATATACAATCATACAAAAACTCATGCAAAACACACATACATGTCCAGACAATTACATACAACAATAGATTTAAAATTACTCAGTGAGTGCATGACTGAGAGCTTTTAAGAAGCTGTTTAAGATGATTTTTAAATGTACAATAACTGGGACATTCCCTTATATTTGTTGGGAGACTGTTCCAAAAGTGAGCTCCTTTGACTGACAGAACAGTTTGTCCAAAGGTTGTTTTCCTATGAGGAATCTCTAGGTCTCCTCTGGAGGAGGCTCTAGTGCTAAAACCTCTGTCCGTCTGTTGGAAAAATATGCATTGTTCAAAATGGTATGTTTGAATAAACAGGATTCAGCTGGATTTCTTCTTAAAACGTTATTTTCAGTGTTCTGACTCCAATCAGGTTCACAGCAGCACTCAGCACACAGGCCTCAGTCAGACC